AAAAACTTACAACTCATAATCAAACATACAACTCAAAATTCTATTAAAACACAAAAAATATTTAAAAATTCAAAAAATATTTTTTTCGAATATATAAAAATTAACATATGTCAATTGTAAAAAAATAAAAATAAAAATAATAATTTACTGTTCCGGTCAACCGGTAGGACGACCGGTTAGGTCAAATTTGAAATTTTTTTTTCGAAAACTGCGCTTGAGACAGAGTGTTTTGTGCAGAGTTTTGGAAACGTAATTTCAAAACACGTTCCAAACATCATACTTGAATCAAAGTGCAGAACCATGGTTTGAAAACACAACCAAACACAGCCTAGGAAACCCGTGACTTGTGCCAAGGCCACTGTTTGTCATAACCAAGGATACTTGGCTCGAAATGAGAGGGCAAGGTCATTATTTGAACACCCCCACTCACCCGTTCACAGATCGGCTTCTACTAAACCATGATATGAATTTTATTTACTTTATATATTCATATTTCAATTTATTTAATAAATCCTAGAATTTACTATGTGAAATACAAATATAGACTATGTCATTTATTTTGGAACAATTTGATTTCATATATTTGAAAAAGTTTTGAATATGTACAATTCAAAGAAATTGAGTTTACAAACATGAAAATCAACATCATTCCAAATTAAGCGACACAACCTCCATTCATCGGCATTCATACACTTATATCATGTAAGCAAGTAGCTTCATGGTACTTAATTCTAGGATGTTTAAACATAGTAAAAAAAAATATGCACAAGTAGGATGTTAAAGTCTAAAAACTTACATATTTACTAAAGTCCTGCGAACAACTTTAGAGAAAAAGATAAATTTTCTGATTACCAAACTTTCTTCTTTACACCATCACGGTTATGGAGTATGTTTTGATATCTTAGTAAGAAGTTGCAAGTTTAAGCTTTGATGGAATTTTTGGGTAGTATATATCTATGGATAGAAAGGTGATAGAAAGGCTTAAGATTTGTTCCAACAAAAATTCTTTTTCCAAATTTTTTTCCTCTCAAGACTTGTGAAATTTTCTCTCTTTTTGAAATAAAAATTTCTTTCTGAAATTTTTTCTTTCTTTCTCAAAACAACAAAATGAGGGGATATTTATAAACTTCCAAAACACCCAAAACACATGGCTAGCCATGTGGTATTTCCAAAAACACATGGCTTGCCATGTAGTATCTTAAAATCATGTGGCTTGCAATGTGGTGTGAGAGCTGAATTTTTCCAAAACTGCTAAACTTTTCCCAAAAAATAAAAATAAAAATTCAGAAAAATATTTTTGAATAGGTCTAAAATAATTTGGCCAAAATGGATGTAAGGTTGGAATAAAAGCTTAAATCTGACTTTTCTGTTGAGAAATTCGTAAAATAACATATTCTAATTTTTATTATCGAGTGTTCAGAAGAAAGCGTCCATATCTTAAGACTGGTCAAAATGGGGTGTCTACACATTTTCATCTTTTTGCTTGAGCTTATTCTTTTGGACAAAGTGTTTTAGCGCTTGGATATTTGGATAAACAAAATTAAAATTTAGACTTTTTGATCGAGTGCCCTCATAACTATTTCTATTTTTCTCTTGTTTTTCTCCATATCTATCTACCTCTCTCTCTTTTTTCTTTTTTCCTTTTTTTTTTCATTTTTTTGTGTGCATGTTATTACATTTTAAATTATAATGATCATTATCATGATCATTATATTGGTTTGGGAACATCATTTTTAACTTAAAAATTAAAAAGTCAAAAATACAATTTTCTCTCTATTTTTTACACATTATTTCGTAAAAAACTAAAAAGTTATCCCAAATATATAATTTTTTTACTTTGTATTTTAATAAAAAAAACTAAAAATTACTAAAATAATTTGTTCTTAGGGGTCGTTTGGTAAACTCATTAGGCTAAAAAATCACAAAAGGACAAAAAAAAGTCAAAAAATCACAAAAGGACAAAAATTACAAAAAGACAAAAAAAAAAAAATTGCCATTCCAAAGCAAAAAAGTAAAAAAGCCAAACAAGAATACCAAACGACTAAAAAAGTCTCAAACTAAAAAAATCAAAAAAATAAAAAATCAATTAAAAAGGTCATTGCCAAATAAGCACTTAAGTGAGGCCAGTAACTAAAATAATAAATAAAAAGTATAAATTAATTAAAATAGATTTAGAACACATAATTTTAATATCCCGTTAATCCTTATTTATTTTATCACCGAATGAAAATTGGCTTAAGGATTAATGATGCCTCTAGTATCAAAATCCTGGTCTAATGAACGTCATGGGGATTAGGTGAGACTGCTTGAATGTTGAATATATCTTTGTTTGTATCACAACAACCATTGACAGCCCCACCACCGCCACTAACAATCCTCACCAACCTTCTTTCCCATCTCCACAAGTTCATACCTACAGGCTACACCAACCCCCAATTATTTGCCTTTCTTATATATCTGATCTACTTTCTTCTATACATTTTCTCATTTCTATATCTATAATAATTTAATATTTTTGTTGGAGAGGTCAGACGACAAACCAACAATGGCGTCGTCTCTATCCACCAAACAATTTCTCGGGTCTCCATCTTCCGACTTCGGATCTCTGCAACGCTCCGATCTCCGCAACCTCTTCTCTCCAACCCTCCATTTCTCTAATCTCCGATCACATCCCAAGAAGCTCGAAATACAGGCAGTTGGGAGTACATTTGGAACTTACTTCCGTGTTTCAACATATGGAGAATCTCATGGTGGTGGAGTTGGTTGTATCATTGATGGATGTCCGCCTAGGGTTCCCCTCTCTGAAGCTGATATGCAAGTAGACCTTGACAGAAGGAGGCCAGGTCAGAGTCGAATTACTACACCTAGAAAAGAGACTGATACATGTGAAATTTATTCAGGCGTTGCTGAAGGCATGACAACTGGATCTCCAATTATGGTAAAAGTACCCAACACAGATCAGAGAGGACATGTGAGTACCCATTGCTGATGCAACGTTCATAAGACATCTTTAACAGTTCGGACTGACTCCAACAGTTAGGCATCTATTGGGTGGTCTGAGATGCAACAATTGATTTCAATTGGATAAGGTTACAAGAACAATCACATAGAGTGCATTTTCACATACCATTAAATGAACTCGGCCCTTTGGGTTCATTGACATAGTATTTGAAACTAGTGAATTCCTACCTGGGTTGCATGCAAAATGTGTCTGTGTCCATTTATTACTATGGAAAAAAAAAAAATAGTTTTATGTTATCATTTGTGATGTGGTTCATTGCGATCACACCATTTGAGGGGTTGAAATTTTGCTTTGAACTGTTGGAGGAAATGGAGGCATTCCTTTTCCACCATTATTCAAATGTGTCCATGGTGATAGATGAAATGAGCTAGATATAAATTGTAATGTAATTCACTTTAGTTTAGAGGGTTAGGGACATGATATGATTAGGGTCTATGTCAAGTGAATCTATTAAGTTATCTTAATCTAGGTTGGTCTAAGTTGATCATCGCACCACGGGCCGTGGGCGTGTTTCGGGCAGCCACGGGACACGGGCTAATGTTACACTCTTATCAATGTGAATGTTAACATGTCAATGTGAATATTCACGTTATCAACGGGCCGGGCTCGCGTCGGCCCGGGGCCAGGCTTCGGGCTGCCCACGGGTCACGGGCTAATTTTATACTCTTATCAATGTTAATGTTAATATGTCAATGTGAATATTCACATTGTCAACGAGCTGGGCCGGGCCCGTCCTGGGCAGCGGGCGGGCTTCAGGTAGCCCACGGGCCACGGGCTAATTTTACACTCCTATCAATGTGAATGTTAATATGTCAATGTGAATATCCACATTGTCAACGGACCGGACCGGGCTCGCCTCGGGCCACCCATGGGACGCGAGTCAATTTTACACTCTTATCAATGTGAATGTTAATATGTCAATGTGAATATTCACATTGTCAAAAAGCCGGGTCGGGCCTACCCCGGGCCGCCCACGGGCCGTGGGCTAGTTTCGGGCAGCTACGGGGCGCGGGTTAATTTTATACTTTTATCAATGTGAATGTTAACATGTCAATGTAAATATTTGCATTATCAACGGGTCGGGCCGGGCCCGCCCAGGGCAGCCCACGAGCCGCAGGCGGGTTTCGTACCAGCCACAGGCCGTTGGCTAATTTTACACTCCTATCAATGTGAATGTTAACATGTCAATGTGAATATTCACATTGTCAACGGGCCGGGCCCGGGCCCGGGCTTCGGGCTGCCCACGGGTCATGGGCCAATTTTACACTCTTGTCAATGTTAATGTTAATGTTAATGTGTCAATGTGAATATTCATATTGTGAACGGGCCGGCCCGGACCCGCCCCGGGCTACGGGCTAGTTTCGGGCCGCCCACGGGCCACAGACCAATTTTACACTCCTGTCAATGTGAATGTTAACTTGTCAATGTGAATATTCATATTATCAACGGGCCGGGTCGGGCCTATTTTTTTGGCTTGTGGGCCGGCCTGGCCCGACTCGAATTTTTTCGGGCACCCACGAGATCGACATGAGCCGGGCCCCTACACATTGACGATATAAACATTTATATTGACGGTGTGAACATTCACATTAAGGGTATTTTGGTAATTATGTTACGCATAGGACTTATTGAAACATAAGAAAATAATGTAAACTAAATGGAACATAAGTAGATGAAAATGATATTTTTGTTTTCTTATCTCAAATTGGACCTAATGAAATAGTCAAAAAGAATATAGATTAGATGGAATAAAACTCTTAGAAAATAGATTTATTAAAAAAGCTCCCGATTTAAAACACATAATTTTAATATCCCGTTAATCCTTATTTATTTTATCACCAAATGAAAATTGGCTTAAGGATTAATGATGCCTCTAGTATCAAAATCCTGGTCTAATGAACATCATTTGGATTAGGTGAGGCTGCTTGAATGTTGAATATGTCTTTGTTTGTATCACAACAACCATTGACAGGCCCACCACCACCACTAACAATCCTCACCAACCCTTCTTTCCCATCTCCACAAGTTCATACCTACAGGCTACACCAACCCCCAATTATTTGCCTTTCTTATATATCTGATCTACTTTCTTCTATACATTTTCTCATTTCTATATCTATAATAATTTAATATTTTTGTTGGAGAGGTCAGACGACAAACCAACAATGGCGTCGTCTCTATCCACCAAACAATTTCTCGGGTCTCCATCTTCCGACTTCGGATCTCTGCAACGCTCCGATCTCCGCAACCTCTCCTCTCCAACCCTCCATTTCTCTAATCTCCGATCACATCCCAAGAAGCTCGGTCAGTTTTTATCACTCCCTTTCCTTTTATTTTGCCCTCAATTGCAATTTTTTCTGTTTGGTTGCTGAGAAAGATTTAGAAAACCACAAATTTAAAAATGTTGTTTTATTTTTTTGGCTTAAAACCTAAAAGCAGAATGTAAAAGCAAATTTCACCTTCAGATGAATTCTCAACAACATGAAAAACAATAAATTAAATTTAGCAGCTGGTAGTGTAGGTATTGTTATATTGGGGTACTAGAAAGTGAAAGGTTGAAAGTACCATTAATTTTTAATTATTTTTTTCAGTTTCTTATAGTTTTGAACTACTAGTTGGCTGTTTTGGTTGCATATCCAACACCACTCAGAAGATCTGTTACTGAATTAGTTGCGTGAAGTTAAATTTATATGTTTTATTGCCACTTGTGCTGGGTGCTTCTTCAACTTTCATGAATTGTATTGCATTAGTAGTGGTTCACAGTTACAGACAATAAAGTTTGCAGATTACAAAAGAAGGAAGTGATTAACATAAAAAATTTACTGAATCAATCTTGCAATGCATATAGCTCATGTCTCGATCACTAATCATTTGGTCACTATCTTGGGTTGGGTGCTTAGACATTGCAGATGCATTGTATGTTATAGCCAAAAAGTCAACTCATTCTTTGTACTTTTTTGTTTTGTAAAAAACCAAAAAGCCACTAAAAAAAGTCAAGTCTCAAACGAACCCACAGATAGACTGAAAAAAGTTTAAATTTTTTTGACAATAATAAGAAGAAAAAGAAAAGAAAAAGGATCCATAGGTCTAACAAAACACACTGTCTACACAGATAACATTGTAGAAAACATTACTAGAGTAACAGTCACATTGCTTTAATACTATATTACAATGATATTGGTTAGTCAACAACATCCCTTATAATCCAAAAGTATAGTACAAAATAAGCTCAAGAGATTCCTATTATGAATGAAAAAGGGGCCATTTATTTGTTGGATTAGAGTAACAAAAAACCAAAGGCCCACACACGAGCCTTAAATTGTTCAGAGGTGTTTTGAAAAAGTGATTTTGGTGCTCATATCTTTATAGGAGAGTCAAAGAGCTGACAGATTTTTGAGGATGTAGAGATGCCTAGGCATAGATTAAAATTGTCTTTACTTCATATTTTTCGTTTTTGGATGAAAGGAAACTTTTTTGAATCTTCTTTCCCTCTTGTTGATTTTAGAGCTCACTTTGGTTGATGGCCTTTTGTTTTAGCTTTGTGTAAGCACATTGCATTGAGGTCGTGTGCTTTTTGACACTATTTATGAATTAAATTTTACTTGTAAAATAAAAATAATAATAAAAAGGATAGTGGAGGAGTAGTCAATGTTCTCGTGTCTTTTATAGAGAAGAGATGCTGTAGTTTGGGGCTAAAAGTAATGTACATCAACTTTTGGTGTAACTTATCCAAAAAATAAAAATAAAAATAAAAATTGCATAGATATAGCCTACAACTCATCATTTGTTTGTCAATATCTCTAGATGATTACAAAATGTTTAGAAGCCATATTGCAATGCATGGTTAGTATGACTGAGTCAACTAATGCAATTCTCAAGCCACATGCATATATATATACACATGTATATATATACATATATTCATGGTTTGTTTTCACACCAAAATTATTTATTTAAAACCAAGTAGTAACTACTACTCCATAGAATAACGGTTAAGATTAGGTGTCGATCCAAAGGAATTGTACTAACTAAAGTGCTTAAAATCGAAAATTATTTTTACTTGATTGAAGAAGGTTGATGATGTGAACTTGATGAAAATGACAAGTAAATATAAAATAATGATGAAGTTATGAAATTCCTAGTGTTCGAATGTACCACTACTTGCGTAACACGAGGCAATGTAATCGTTCTTGGGAGATTAGTTAATAGATAATTATGATATATTATGACTACAAGTCCTAATATGATCGTCTAGAAAATTCATATTCTGAAATTCTAGGTATAGACCATCTTTGGTTGGTACTTACCGTCTTACACTAAAACTACTGCCGTAGGAACAGTCCATCTTCCCTTAGCATGGTCTATCTTAGGATCCCAATATATGTACAAATAAAACTATTGCATAACTATGCATTTGAAATCATAGAAATCAAACACAAGACGTGAGATAAAACATTACCCGTAGAAAAACTTTTAAATGTTATGCAATTATTATCCAAAAATAATACAACCCAAGAATTAATTACAAAAACTCAAATTTTTCTTGAGTAGGCTTCATCTAAGCCCTAAGGATGAGAAGATTAGCTACACATGATTGTAGAAATTGCCATAACTCTCTTGGAAGAGAGCCTGGAAGAAAGCTTTTTCTACACTTGATTTTCTTTGACTCTTCTCTACTTCGCCTCCCCTTCTTCCCTCTATTTGATCAACCCAATCTCTCTATTTATAGAGCAAATATATGCACAAAGTCCTTCCATCTCATAAATGCAACCAACAATGGTTGAAAATGGAAGATTTGGGAAGTTAAATTTAGTGCCTAGTTGTTGAACACAGTGAGTTATGTCTGATCTTATGCCCATATCTCCCTCTATGCTATGAATTTCGACATGGGGCTAGTTTCAACTGAAACTAGACTTCTAGGGTTTCAATTTAGACACAAGATTTGCATGGTTTGGACTTGAAATGAATGAGGTATGATTTTTCAAAGTTGGTGTATGCAATCTGTCCTGTGTGCAGAATTTCAGATTCTTTTCCCTGAATGTGTCTTCATTTTTGATCGCCAGTATGGCTGAATTGAGAAATTATTGTTAGATGATGATTTGTAGCCCTTCGAGTTAGCTTTCCAAGGCAGCTTGATTCATCCCAATTTGATGTCGTATGAAGGAGATATGCCCAAAATATCAATTGTTGCACAGAGAACTTCCAACTCAAAAATTCAAGATTTTTTTCTTAAATTTGATTGGATAATCATTTCTTCCAAAAATCCATGTAAGCTTTGCAAAATTCATCTTGCTTGTGTCATTTGAGTGTAGAGACTTGGAAAACCTACAATTACATAAAATAACACAAAACCATCGAATAACACAGGATTATGGACTCATGAAGTGTGTTTTGGAGGGCCTAAATGTGTAACATTTCGGCACTTATCACATATCATGCTGTAATTTTAATGAGTTTCGGTATTTGGTTGGCCTCCTTCAATTTGAGGTGACTCAACCTAGTGGACTCATAGTTGGTAGATTCTTTGAACTTTGCCAACAAAAGAGGATTAATTGCCTACAATTTTCTGACATTTAGCTTGGTAGCTTCTAATTTTTTTACTAAAATCATGTACGACTCTACATTTTTTTTTTGAAATACTTCTGTTTTGGAAAAAAGGAACTTTTTACTTCTATTGGGAAAAGTGATTTTGCAGTTCCCTCGGCCTTTTCAGAATTGTTATCGAAGATGAAGTGTCTGTTACTGATTTAAAAGACTAAGCGTGTCCTCATCACTCCCAGAATACTTCATCAATTGTTCTTTTGTTCAGCCTGTGTGATGTTTCAAAATGGGAGTATCATGTTGGAAAAGTAGCATTCTTTGCAACCAAACTAACCTATGGTTGATTTCTGTAAAATCACACTATTGTCAGATGACTCAGATGCACATCTAATTAGGTGTATAATGTATTATCTGGGCTTCTTGTCTCGCATATTTTGGTTAATACATGGCAGGATTGACTACTGGAAAAAGTATTGCCTTATAAACTGTGGAACATTAACTTTTATTTAGATTAGGTATGACAGTACAATGCTCATTTGTCCATGTCATTTCCTATATGCCTTAGTTTTGTCTCATACTTGAAAATCAACTTATTATTACAGTATAAAATAAGCTGCATGATTTGATGACCTGATGATCTGACTTGAGTCTTCTTTTTGCTTTTAACCCTAATTGGTTAAAACTCGTGTTTGAGTTAATGATAATATGTTGCCTGCAGAGATAAGTTTAGCTTATAAAATTAGAAAACCAGTATGCATTGAGAACAAGTGCATATGAAAACTTTGCAGCTTCTACTGGAAAATCTGTTTCTCTTCATTGGAGAACAAGAAGTTTTGGATTTGCTGCTGGTCTTTTAGACTTATGGTATTGTGTGATCAAATTTTACGATGTTTAACATTGGTTCCTTTCATAATGATTCACAGAAATACAGGCAGTTGGGAGTACATTTGGAACTTACTTCCGTGTTTCAACATATGGAGAATCTCATGGTGGTGGAGTTGGTTGTATCATTGATGGATGTCCGCCTAGGGTTCCCCTCTCTGAAGCTGATATGCAAGTAGACCTTGACAGAAGGTAATTCCGTAATTGCTAGCTGTTGTTTGTTTTGTTATTCTAAAGCTTGCATAGCAGAGCGAGTGCATCCTTACTATTTGTTCATAGAATTTTGAAACAATTAGTTGGGAACATGATTGAAGGATTAATGCTTGAAAAAGTAATGATTTTAAACTGCCTCTCTCTTTCTCTCTTTTGCGGGATGATGATCCACACCATAACAGAATGTGTCCCGTACAAGTACAATACTGGGTTCTAATCTGTCTTATAAATACAATACCGAGTTCTAATATCTCTTGCAAAGGCTCTTTGTTGGTTTACAATTAAAGAAATTGCATGCAGGAGGCCAGGTCAGAGTCGAATTACTACACCTAGAAAAGAGACTGATACATGTGAAATTTATTCAGGCGTTGCTGAAGGTTAGATTTTTCTTCACATTTCTCTTCAGGATTTTCATGTTTTTATTTTCCCCTTTATTTTTCCCAACCAGAGAATCGGTGATTGAGATCTTTTGTAGTGGACTGATGCTTGGTGTTTAACTGCAGGCATGACAACTGGATCTCCAATTATGGTAAAAGTACCCAACACAGATCAGAGAGGACATGTGAGTACCCATTGCTGATGCAACGTTCATAAGACATCTTTAACAGTTCGGACTGACTCCAACAGTTAGGCATCTATTGGGTGGTCTGAGATGCAACAATTGATTTCAATTGGATAAGGTTACAAGAACAATCACATAGAGTGCATTTTCACATACCATTAAATGAACTCGGCCCTTTGGGTTCATTGACATAGTATTTGAAACTAGTGAATTCCTACCTGGGTTGCATGCAAAATGTGTCTGTGTCCATTTATTACTATGGAAAAAAAAAAAATAGTTTTATGTTATCATTTGTGATGTGGTTCATTGCGATCACACCATTTGAGGGGTTGAAATTTTGCTTTGAACTGTTGGAGGAAATGGAGGCATTCCTTTTCCACCATTATTCAAATGTGTCCATGGTGATAGATGAAATGAGCTAGATATAAATTGTAATGTAATTCACTTTAGTTTAGAGGGTTAGGGACATGATATGATTAGGGTCTATGTCAAGTGAATCTATTAAGTTATCTTAATCTAGGTTGGTCTAAGTTGATCATCGCACTTGTCATTTGTAGGAGACTAGGGGTGAGCTTAGCGTGAATTTCTTAGCTTTCTTTTTGTTGTTATTTTGATACTCATGACCGTTTTATTTGATTTCTTAGGATTATAGTGAAATGTCAATATCCTATAGGCCTTCTCATGCGGATGCTGCTTATGACTTCAAGTATGGTGTGAGATCAGTGCAGGTAACATCTTTGAGAGTCATGTTATCATAATAGCACTGAAGCTAAAGGGAATGCAGGTCTATCTGGATTCTGTACTCTAATTTTTTACTACAAAATGGTGCTGATGGAAGTGCAGGGTGGTGGTAGATCCTCAGCTAGAGAAACTATTGGGAGAGTTGCTGCTGGAGCCGTTGCTAAGAAAATTCTCAAGCTATTTTCAGGAACTGAGGTGGGTTACTTGATTGTGTTGCAGGTTTTTTAATTTTTTTATAATGTTTTTTAAGGGAAAAAAATTCCATGAAGTGGTATATTACTTGCAGATAATATATATATATATATATATATAAATATAATGTTGCATACATCTATAATATTGGCATAATGTGTCATTGTATGGATATATGATTGTCCATTTGATCTATTTGGTTGTGTGTATTTAACAGATTATCAACGTGTGAATTTGCATAATTATGTATGTAGACTTCAACAAGTTGAACCTCTAAGTTGAATAAATAATGATAGCTGGGAGCTCTCAGTTACTGGTGGGGCATGTCTGTTCTTTGGATGGAAAGAGAGCATAACCCCCTTGGCTGTGCTTGTCATACGTGATATTGTTTTAACTCATTATGTACCTGGGATAATGTTATTCCTGTTTACATCTCTGTCTGGATCTTATTTGTGATTATCTATTGATGCCCTTAATGTTTGTGTGTCTCAGATTCTTGCTTATGTCTCTCAAGTCCACAAAGTTATACTTCCAGAAGATTTGGTGGATCACGAGAGTCTGTCACTTGATGAGGTAACCCCCCCAACCCAACCCCCCTTCCCCTAAGGGGATTGTGGTCGCTGTTCCTCCCTCCACAGGAAATGCAAGTGAAGCAGGATCAGCTCTTAAAAACCTGGAGATTATAACTCATTTATTGTCACATGAATTTCTTAGAAGTAAATCAACAAATAACAGATATGTTCTGAAGATCAATTTTCTGCTATTGAGGTGGGCGTCATTTGCATTTGGGAGAGGATTTTTTATTAGTATTTCTCTTCACTAATTCTGGGGTCTAGTAATAGAAATTTGTTTCCTTACGTGCACTGTGATCAGTTGATGTGTACTTTCCCCCATAAACATTAGTTCTTGTGACATCCCAATTAGACTGAATGGATGATGTCATGAATCTGGTTAAGTACATACACATAATGATGTTGCCTTCTTAAATAGTTCCTTACTGATAGCTGGACCTCCTTATTAAGATCTAAAAAGAGAAATCATTATGAAACTGGACAAGAAATTATGTGTAGGAAACTTTGAAATAAAGTAGTTTGTTGATGTCAGGGCATAAATGCACTTTTTAGCCAAATTCCGTGCACTTTTCTGCACATTCCAGTGTTTGATATATGATCATTCTAGATAAGATAAATAATTTACTATAAAATTAAAATTTCACTTTGCATCTTTGCCAGCAGATCTGGCCTCAAGAAATATGTTTTCGTAATGAACAGTTCCATCATTCCTTATTCTGACAAATTTTCTTCTTTGATACCCTGTGATGGTGAAAGGAGTGTTGACCATTTTTTTTTGCTTTGTCTAGTGGCCTTGGGATTGTGGTGGAAGTTATTTCAGTTGGAAGAGGTTTATTTTGCAATTCCATTTTTCATGGATGAGTTGTTTACTATTGATTGTAGCGGCTTCAGTTCAAATAGGAAGTTGTGGGCTCTTTGGAGTTGTGCAATTTGTGCGGTATTATGGTTAGAGAGAAATGCAAGAATGGTTGAGGATAGACCAGTTGAAGTTGGTAGTTTGTAGGATAGGGTATGTTATTTGACTTCCTGTTGGGTGTCAGTTTTGACTACTTCTAAAGGAATTTCCTTGTTTTTTATTAGTAGTGATTGGAGGGCTGTTTGTCTGTTGTGATTTTGTTTGCTTTCTTTCCTTTTTTTTTTTTTTTTATTTTTTATAAATAAATAATTTATTGAAAGAGCATCAAGATGATGCAACAAATACAAGACATCAAAAAAAGTAACACCTAATCAAGAATGTCATCTAAGAAATCCAAAAAAACAAGCAAATCCGGATCAAACTTTCGTTCCATCCAACTATACAAAACTATAAGAAGGCGACTCTCAAGCCAAGAAACAGTATGGTGAAGCTCTTGAAAAGTTCGTCTATTACACTCCAACCAAACTAACCACATCAAACAAAGGGGCACCAAAGACCACACACGCCGCCGTTGCCGACCCACCCGAGCTCCATGCCAACTCCACAACAGATCCATCACCCTCATCGGCTGAACCCAAACAATCCCCAAAAGGGAGCAAATAACACCCCATAACCGACTAGCCACAGGGCAATGCAAGAACAAATGATCTACAGACTCAGCATCTGCACAACACATACAACATCGATTCACTAGAAAATGACCACACCGAACCAAGTTATCAATCGTAAGATTCCGCCCTAAAGCCGTCGTCCATATGAAGAAAACCACCTTTGAAGGAGCCCCCGGCACCCAAACACTCCTCCAAGGAAAATCCCTTCTCACCTTCCCCACCAAACTCCGATAATAGGACGAAATTGAAAAATACCCCCTTAGTCCCCATACCATTCCACCCCACGACATCCTCTCCCACCCCAGTCACACCCAACCCATACAAGTGATCCCATAATTCTAGCAGTTACGCAACCACCCAATCTTGAACCGGCCGTCGCAAGTGAATATCCTATACCACCATATCCCCACCTCCCAAATAAGATGCCACCAAAGCTTCCTGATCCAAAGCAATTCCAAAAATCAAAGGAAAACGAGTCGCCAACAAAGCCTCACCACACTACCTATCATTAAGAAAACGCACTCTCATCCCATCACCTACTCAGAACCCCACCCTCTCCTGAAACTCTACGGTCCGCAACCAAATTCCTTTTCATAGACCACAACCATGAGAACTAGTCACAACCCCTGGCCCCCATCCCCCCTTAGCCTGCCCATACTTACTAGCCACCACCTGCCGCCAAAGCCTCTCCGACTCTACAGCAAAGCGCCACAACCACTTACCCAATAGAGCTTGGTTGAAGACCACCAATCTTCAAACCCCCAGCCTCTTTTGAGTGACAAATCTGCCCCCAATCCACCAAATGGTATCTAAAATCATCCCTCCCACTGCCCCACAGAAAATTCCTTTGAAGCTTCTCTATTCGCCGCGCCACCGATACTGGAATAACATGTAAAGACATGAAATACATAGGAATGCTACTCAACACACTCTTAATCAAAGTCAATCTACCCTATTTCGAAAGATATTGCCTCTTCCACCCAGCCAATCGACGTCGAATTCGCTCCACAATTCCATCCCACACCCCTTTCGCCTTAAATGTGGCCCCCAAAGGCAAACCCAAGTAAGTCACTGGCAGAGCCGACACCTGGCAGTCCAACACCGCAGCTAACACTGGAAGACCCTCCACCTTCCCTATCGGAATCAACGCCGATTTCCGCAAATTAACCTTAAGACCCGAAACGACCTTAAAGCATAACAAGACACATCTCAAATACCCTACTTGCTCTGCCACGGCCCCACAAAAGATCAAAGTATCATCAGCATACAACAAATGGGAAACGCGAAGAGGCTCTCCCGAGATAGGACCCACCAAAAAACCCTCCATCAAACCTTCCTGGACAGCCCTATCCAACAATCTACTAAATGCCTCCATCACTAGAATGAACAAAAGTGGCGACAAAGGATCCCCTTGACGAAGACCTTAATGAGTCGGAAAGAAACCCGCCGGCGTACCAGTGACTAGAACAGACATCCTAATAGTAGAAATACAAAACTGAATCCACCGACACCAAGTCTCTGCGAAACCCATGCACCCCATAACATCTAACAAAAACTCCTACCGTACATTATCGTGAGCATTCTCAATATCTAACTTACAAATCAAACCAGGTAAGTCTTGTCGAATTCGACACCCCTAAGACCCAAGGCCTTGCCACCAGGCCAATCCTTTGGGGTTAACATCCTTCTATAATTTGAACACTTAATTCTCAACCTTGACAGTGCATTTTCTTCCTAAGTCTTCATAGTCATTTTTCATGTATCTACCCCCCCCACAAAAGCATTTTGAGAATCAGACAACTACCTGCAAAACATCACGAAGCATTTTGTTTTCTTTCTTTTACTACTTTTGGAGGATATCGTCATTTTTTTCTCTTTGTACTTTCTATTTCTTCTTTTAATAATTTTTCTCATTTGTTGCTAATAAAATATATATAAAGGGAGCTCCTTTTGGGGTGTATCATCTGCTAGTTATGACATTTTGTGGCGTTGATACCATTGTTATCAGAATCCCAATCCGGATCGTAGGATCTTACGATTCTATAACTTCAGTTAGGCCAAACGATCCGGATCACACTAGAATCTTAAATTTAGTAGGATCTTAAAGTAACTACGGTCCTAGTCATAAAATGATGTAGAATCGCATACGATCTCGATTCGACCAATTTTTTTTTTGGTTATTATTTATTTCTTATATATATGTATATATGTGTGTATATCTATGTACAAAATTTGACCATAAACTCATTTTTCAAACGTCTCTTCTAAATTATGTTAACATAGAATATAAATTATATCATTATCGATAATTTTTTATTTTATTTTGCATTAAAATTAGGATTTTACGATCCTTGATCCGATTTTATGATCTGATCCATGAGTCCCTCCCAACGATCTTACATGGGATCCCAATTTTAACAACCTTGGTTGATGCCACTTTGTGTCATAACCAAGCCACTTTCGGTCATAACCAAAGGGATCACAATTGATCATAACCAAACACCTCCTAAGGCATAACCAAAGACCTCTTTGGTCATAACCAAGATAACAACCACAGTATGTCATAACTAAGTTATAACCAGCATTACAATGAGTCATAACTTAACACCACAATGAGTCATACCCAAACACCACAAAAGATCGGAAGTAGGGCATATGGTACACCACTTTTTTGGGTGTGTATTATAGAATTTCCCATATATATATGATGGCATAAAGATAGAAAGATACAGAAGAATGAGAAGGTAGAAAGAGAATATAGGAGAGAAACAAAAGACGAGAGAAGAACAACGACAAAGTAAGAGAGAAGATAAAATTAAGAGATAAGAAGAAGAACGGAGATAACAAGGAAGATGAAGAACAAAAGGAATAGGAGGAGAAAGCCAGTGCTGTTCCAAAGGAAACTATTATTAAGCCATCTGGAAGTAATCACTTTATAAAATTGCCCCACCCAACATGGTAACAAGATAAGCCCAAGATTATTATTTTATACACGAAACTGTAAAAACAGCTAAAAATAAGAAAATATAGCAATATAGTTAGAAAATATTGCCAAAATTGTTTTTGACTGAAATACATTGGCAATTATCTTTAACTGAATCTTGTGTCGGTTAGGGTGCATTTAATTGAGTCATTGTCAAGGGCACCCACTTTTCATCTTGTTCGTTAAATTAGATCTTGGCATAGGTATTATAATTGGATCTTGAGAGGATAAGTTGTCGGGGAAAATCCCTTATTGTTTTTCGTTCTCTGATTATATCGTCTTGTTTTCTCTAGATTTGTTGCCATTTTTGGCTTTGGTTCAATGTTTATTAGGAGGCTGTCCTGTTTTCCCCTTCTATTAGATCCGAATAAGTTTGCGGTTCCTTATGCTTTTGAACTTTTTGATCTTCTTATGGAGGTTTATGCATTGTCACCCTTCTATAATTTTTTTATTTTTTTTTGTTGATTGGCACCTGGGTGTCCGGATCAAAGCCGAACTAATCTCTAGGGGTGCACATGCCCTCGGCAAGGAGTTTTCTGCAAGTGTACCATGATTAATTCAAGGGTTTTTTTTTGTTGATTGGCACCTGGGTGTTCGGATCAAAGCCTAACTAATCTCTAGGGGTGCACATGCCCTCGGCAAGGAGTTTTCTGCAAGTGTACCATGATTAATTCAAGGGTTTTCCTCAGTCTGATGGCCCAAAGGAATTGTTAGCATCTAAGAGGTTTTGATCCTTGAACCTTGGAGGAAGCACACCCCTAAGACCCAAGGCCTTGCCACCAGGCCAATCCTTTGGGGTTAACATCCTTCTATAATTTGTACACTTAATTCTCAACCTTGACAGTGCATTTTCTTCCTAAGTCTTCATAGTCATTTTTCATGTATCTAACATTAGTAATCAAAACATATTCCCGTCATGCAAGTTTATGGATTGCTTGACAATGTCTAATGAAAGGTTAAGGAAAGAGATTGTGCTTTAAAGGAGAAAATTGAAGACTAAACATGTGGTCAATTATCCTTACATTTGGAGTTAGCACACATGGCATGGAAAGTAAGCGAAGTTTATAATTGAAGGAATCTAAAGGAATCCATTTTCATTATGTTATGAGTCTAATAACATTGGAGGTATGTTCCTAGGCAGGCATGGTTACTCCAGTATCAGATCAGAGTAAGCAAACTCCCTAGGATATCATGGCATCCTAGTTCAAGGTGATTGCTTGATGATGTGGGTGCATAAAATAGTAAACTCAATTGTGGGTTATTTAGTGAAGCTTGGAGCAGCAACTGTAGAAGTCTTCTAACAAATTCTTATAATGCACTCACTTTTGTATCATTATGCATTAAATGCTATCTTTTCCTTTTTTAGCTTTTCTCGTGGGAAATGGAATCCTGTCTTTATGGGTTATTCAATTCAATAAATTTCGTCTGCATAAAAACAATTCCATTTCATTGAAGTACTTCCTGTAAAAGCTGTACTTTTCATTTGAGAGGTTCATGGAGATAATACTTGTTATTGAATACTATACATGTTCATTTGAGAGGTAATACAATGTCATTTTTTATCTGTGGGAGCCCCTACATTGCAGGGGCAGGGGTCTGTATGTTATCTTAATTTATCAAACATCATTTATTGGTGCAATTGTTTGAAGTTTAGTGGTAAACATTACAATTACATTCTCTGAATTTATGATATGCCAAATTATATGTTTGGTTTGTGTTTGAGAAAAAAAATTCAGAATTTTTTTTGAAAAAATGGAAACTAGTTTGATAAAAATAAATATAAAAAGTAAAATTTTAAAAATTATTTCTGGCCTCCCATAAGATAGAATTATATAAAAATGGTAAGTGTTTTTATTTATTTATTTATTTTTTATTTCTTTCACATATTTAATTTTTAGTTTTTAGAAAAATTTTGTGAAACAAGTTTTTGAAAACTAAACCAAACACGGCCATTTAACATCCCTTGAGATTCTTGGAATAACCCTAACCTTCTTTGAGCTCTGTAGGTATGCTCATCTATCTCCTTCCTTTGACTTTTATATGATGAATGCATCTAATACAATTTTGGCTATTGTCATCACAAAGTTCAGTGATGATATCAGGGGAAAAACAGTTATTTAATTATTTTGATGCATTATTCAAAGGAAAGTGAGTAAATGAATGTCAAAACAAAGCTTTTGAGGAAAAACAGTTATTTAATTGTTTTGATGCATTATTCGAAGGAAAGTGAATAAATGAATGTCAAAACAAAGCTTTTGAGGGAAGTTAGTGTTATTTTAGGAACCAAGTGAGAAGTCAATGATATTTTCATTGCAAGTGAGTAAATGAATGTCAAAACAAAGCTTTTGAGGGAAGTTAGTGTTATTTTAGGAACCAAGTGAGAAGTCAATGATATTTTCATTATTGCAATGAGGGGGCCACTTGTTGGTGAATAGTTTAAGCTTTAATGGGTCAACATGAGAATGTGGGTTCAAGTTAGGGATGCTTGCTCTAAGCAAATTAATTGAGTGGGTAGCTCTATAATACAGTCTACTCCATCAGCATTCCGGAATGGCTGGTTTAGGATTGGGCAATTGCTCTTGTTAATTGTAAGCTTCTAAATTCCAAATCCTGTGCCCCTGAGGGAATACAATGTTCATTTAGATAAACCTAAAATTTGAATTATGACCAGGTATTTGCAATTGAGTCCTCTTTGAGTTCTCTTATGTGTCAAATTTGCTACAAGAAGAAAGAGAAAGAAAATTGTTGATGTGGTTGTTGATTATAAGTAGTAAAATGATTGGTTTTTCAAACAAAGTGTACAGTTTTATTGTTGTTTAAGTGCATGCTAGTATATGTATTTCATGTTCAATTAAGGATTCATTAAGTGGATTAAATAACCTAATTGTCCCGTGCATATATCTATTTACCCAAACCAAACCAAACCAAGTCTTAAGTCCCATCTAATAGGGTTAGTTGCATGAATCCTTCTTCTCCACTTGACTCTATTCAAGGCCATTTCGTTAGTCAAATTAAGGAGATTCATATCTCTATTTACTACATTAGTCCACGTCAATCTAGTTCTACCCCTTCCTCTACCACTACCATTCACCGCCACTATATCACATCTCTTCATTATTACCTCTATTGGTCTCCGTTGTATATGACCAAAACATCTCAATCTATTCTCTCTCAATTTATCTTCTATCGGTACTAATTCCTATCCATTATCGAATATATTCATTCCTAACTCTATCTTTTCTAGTCTTGCCATACATCCACCTTAGCATCCTCATTTTAATGACACTCTTCTCTACATGTTGTTTTTTGGTTGCCCAACATTCCGTCCCATACAATATTGCTGGTCTAATAGCCGCTTTGTAGAACTTCACTTTTAGTCTATTGGGTACTCGTTTATTGCACAGTACTCCAGATGCACTCATTCACTTAAACCACCCCGCCTTAATTTTGTGGACCACATGCGCTTCAATCTCCCAGTCAAATGTTCACTCTTAGGTAGTTTTTGGTTCTTAATCTTCACTTTTCTTCTGCTTCTATTGTGACTGTTACTAAAATTACACTCTATATACTCTGTCTTAGTTCTGCTTATCCTAAATCTTTTAGATTTAAGTGCTTTTCTTCAAATCTCCAACTTAAAATTTAACATCTATTGATTTTTATGAACTCTCAGCAAGATGCTTAATGTTTTTAGAAATAGTTTAACAAACAAGTTTTCCATGTCAAATTTATTTTATTTTTATAACAAAAAAAGGAAAAAGAAAAAGATATGGTTTGTGAGGATGCAGGGGGTAGGGGAAATCTTTCAGTCCCTTATGAACATTCCCAAAAAGAATATAGAGAAAAATAAAAATTTCATGTGTCTTCTATGACCACGATTACTGTCAATATTTCATGAAATGCTAGAGGTAATTGAACTATGGCCCTTGAAAAGTTGAATGGCAAAACATGCAGAGCATGGGTTGAGATGCGAGAAAGACATGGTAGTATGTGACGTTCTCAAATATTGGCACATTCCTGTTGAGTCGAGTTGATTTGATGCGTGACGTTCTCAAATATTGGGACATACCTGTTGAGTCGAGTTGATTTGATGCATTACTCTTAATTTTGGCTCTCAAATTATATCCTTGGAATTCTAATTTAATTTCAAAATTTTGTTTATTTTTGCTGATCGCATTGGTCCACCTTTTCTTTTATTTTCATCATTGTTATTATTTTCTTACCTCATTAATCCAATTAAAGTTTCTCGTGTATGAAATATTTCCAGATAGAGAGTAATATTGTTCGGTGCCCAAATCCTGAGTATGCAGAGAAGATGATTGCTGCCATTGATGCTGTCCGAGTGAGAGGGGATTCTGTTGGTGGTGTTGTCACATGTATTGCGAGAAATGTTCCACGTGTAAGCCACATGACATTAAATGCAGCAAAGTTTCTGGTTTTTATTTTGTTTTATTATTAGACTTAATGGTAAAACCTTGGTTTAATAACTGAGGTTATGAGTTTAAGTCTCGGGACAACCACTTTGGGCACTATGCCAAAGGTTAGGTGTGTACCCAATCTTTCCCCTCCCAAACACACATTAATGTGTACTAATTGAGTGTTGTTTTTATTAACCTTAACCACATGTATGTAAATTTGTTTTTATGTCAGGGGCTTGGTTCACCGGTCTTCGATAAACTTGAAGCTGAACTAGCTAAAGCTGCTATGTCCTTACCTGCAACAAAGGGCTTTGAGTTTGGAAGTGGGTTTGCAGGTATATATACTCGTGGTGCTCAGTTTGCATTTTCCTCAAAAAAAATTTCAAATTGAGTTGGGTCCTAGGGAAAATAAATTGAAATGCTTTTATTTTGTGGGTGATTCTTTTCTTCAATCAGGGGTAGGGTTAGAAATTTTCTTGAGTGGTGTCTTCTAGAATTAGTGTCCAATTGGTATTCATTTTATAAGTCCTAAATTATGAGCATGAGGATGAATTTCAAGCTAACTTTAAAAAGCACAATCCTCCATAAATCAATCTATATAAATCTTTTAAGGACAAACTTCATTGAACTATTAAAAATATTTGGATAATAAAAGCTCTCGTAACCAGTTATAGTTTACCATTGGATTTAAAACCCTAAATCACAATTAAACAAGAAGGTGAAATTGGTGTACACTGCTGAAAAAGGGAGTTTAAAAATTAGGGTAGCGTTTGGTTTGTGTTTAGAATTATGATTTGAGTGTGGAGTTGTATTTTAAGTTTGTAAATTTTGGAATTATGATTTGAAAAGAGAAAATTTGTTTGGTTATGAGTTTTGAATTGAATTGAGTGTTGAATTTTTGAAATGCGTATTGAGTTTGTGAAAAGTTATTTGATTATGAGTTTTGAAAAGAGTTTTCAAAACTTAATTAAAAAACTTATAACTCATAACCAAACACACAACTTAAAACTCTATTGAAAATTCTATTCAAAGCTCATAACCAAACTCTTACAAAAAATAATTTTTTTATTTAAAAAATTAAAAAAAATCTGAAAATATTTTTTTATTTAAAATATTAAAAGAAAATATTATTATTATTTTTATTTTTTAAAAATTATTGTGACAAATTAATTTTTATTTCAAAATGTTTTTTGTTAATTTTAAATAAATGTCAAAATAATTTGTCATTTTGGTCTCAAAAAAATATTTTCTATATTTATAAAATATCAAAACCAAATATAAATTTTTTCCCAAGATAACAGGTGCCAATTGCCAAAAAAGGTGCCAATTACCAAAAGAAGAAGAAGAAGAAGAAGAAGAAGAAATTGTTCCAGTCAACCGGCTGGACGACCTGGGGGACAACCGAGTAGATCCAAAAATTCAAAAACTGTTTAGGCAGATGTCCGGGTGGTCGACCGGATAGATCAAAAATTCAAAAAACTCTCTGGTTTACCAAACGTGTTTTCAAAATATGTTTTCAAATTGATTTGGAATCATGATTTGAAAATTGTAAACAAATAGAGGGTTGATTATTAGTGTGGAATCATGGTTTGAAACACAAACCAAACACAGCCTAGGGTTCTCTTCCCTATCACATATATTTATATTAAGGGTAAATTACACTTACTTGAAGTTTGGAGAAAATACAACTAGCCCCACACTTTTGACATAATTACACCTCCCTGACTCAAGGTTTAATTCACATAAACTTACTTAGATAATTTTTTATCAGTAATTTGTGAGTCGTGTGGATGAAAATATGATATTGTCATCTATTTTCTAATAAAATGTATATTACCTTTGGCTATTTCAGTGTCTACTCGCCTTTTGCCATTGGTTTTGATCACTTTATCTTTATTAAAAGGGAGTTTAATGTAATTATGTCAAACTTGTGCGGCTAACTGTATTTTTTTCAAACCTCAAGAGAGGTGAGTGTAATTTACCCTTATATTAAATAAGGTTCCAAATGCACAAAATACCATCATTATACTAAAAATATCACATAACAAATAAAAATTAAAAAATTGATTTCATAAACATATTGCTTTATCAATTAAAAATTTCAATGAATTAATCCAAATCAACCTAATATAGTTAGAAATAGATCATTGTTTTTCCTTTACTTTCACCAAATCAGGTACTTGGGTCCCGGGATGACTAAGTGATGGATGAAGAGGCTAAGGCATTAACACCATAAACACCTACAAAAGAAATTAAAAGAATAATAGAAAAAAGGGCAGAGAAAGAAAGCAAAATAGAATAATAGTGTTTTCAACTTCTTAAAGTTATGAAATTGGCTCACACTTTTTAGTATTCAAAGTCGATCCCCCCTATTTCCTTCAATATTCCAATTGGTTAAATGACTGAAAACTCCAAATTTTTGTATGCTTTAACAAAATGCCTATAAGGTTTCTGTTTGGCTCTGACCTGCTTCTAAGTTGATCCCAGCTACTTCAGTATTCCAATTGGTCAAAATACTGAGAACCACCAAATTTTTTTGCATGTTCTAATATAATGTCTATGAGGTTTTTATGGGGTCAGTCAACCTTACTGGTCTTTATTTGGATCTGCCTTGCGGCTAATTGAATTTTGAATGAGAATATAAAAATCAACTTAAATTTTATAAAATCCACAATCATAAACTTCATTGTGATACATTGAAATCGAATATTCATCTGATAATGCTAAATTACTAACATTAGGATGGATTTCAAACTAAACTATAAGAAACACATCCAAAAATCAATCCATACAAATTTTTAACTATCTTCACTTAGGTATAATGATATTTCTAATGATAAAAGGCCTCTTAATCAGTTCTAGTCTAAAAAGCAATTGAAATAAAGCTCCTTTCAACCGATCTAACACTAATAAAACCAAAAAAATGTTTTTCTAAATGTACAACTTTTATCAGATAAACAGAATTTTATCCAGATCAATTTAATTAGTTGAAGAGAGATTACAGCAACAACAATGAAATACCCCGAAGTTCTCTTCTATACTCCTACCAAATCTTCTACTTGGGCTGTAGGATGACTGAGTGATGGAGATGAAAAGGCTAAGGTGTCAATACTTACAAAAGAAATCGGAAGAACAAGAAACAAAAGGAACAATAAAGATTGTGAAGTGGAATATTGGCGTGCTGAATTTTTGCAGTTTAGCAAATTAGCTCCCTTTTCAATATTCAAAGTTGACCATACCCTCTTCCTTCAACATTCTAGTGGGTTCAAATACAGAAAATCCCAAACTTTTTGCATAATTTGATAGTCACATAATCGGTTTTAGTCTGGTTAGTTGACTGACTCCACTAGTCTGTACTTTCCTATTTGGCTCCCGCCTTTGATAGAATTTTTGTGATGTCTAACTTTCTCAATGAAAATGCTCAGGTACATTTATGACTGGCAGTGAGCATAATGATGAGTTCTTTGTAGATGAAAATGGCCGAATCAGGACAAGAACAAACCGTTCTGGTGGGATCCAGGTATTTATTTAAGCTTTATCATTTAGTTCTGCATGTATAGCAAATCAGTGAACATTTTTTTATTGGGCCTTGAGATTATCTATGCTTACGAGCAGGGTGGAATATCCAATGGAGAAATAATAAACATGAGAATAGCTTTCAAGCCAACGTCTACGATTGGAGTAAGTTTATTCTCTTTCCATATATTTTGCACTCAATAATTTGCAGCAGTAAAAGCATATTTAGTTGCCGGGTGCTCTATTAAATGTAAATGTTGTTAACAAAAGCTGATGCACTGTCAGTGGGCCACGCATAATAATTAATTTGAAAAGGCTAGCAATTTCTCATGGATCTACCAGTGCCTTATGTGACCCTCATGAATGGAATTCAGAAATATTCTAATGCTTTTTTAGGACATCTTTCAGTCTGTCTGATCTTATCATCTCCATTAAACCTTTTAGATCGCTTAATTATGGTGATCTGTGCGAGATGTAATTCATAAAACTGTTGGTTGTGAACCTTTTGAATCCATCATGCTGCATTTATATCCTAGCCATCTAGACATATGACCATTTTGACAGAAGTTTGCAAGATGATTGGCCCATTCTGTTTTACACGTACATGTTATTTTTAGAGCTGTTTCTGGTAAGTTTTCTTGTTTGATACTATGAACTGATATGTTGTTCTGATGTGTATGTGCAGAAGAAACAACATACAGTTACTAGAGATAAGCATGCGACAGAGCTAATAGCCCGAGGTCGTCACGATCCTTGTGTTGTTCCGCGAGGTTTGTATATTGTCTCTTATTTTTCAACTAGTCGTTCCTCTGTTTGATAGCTGTTCTTTCTTCACCGTTGCTCTCTTTTCTGTTCCATCATCTGCTTTGCTACCTTGTACAGTTCTTGTGATTGTTAACTCCAACCTATAGATCATCCAATTTCAGAATAGTGTGGTCCTAGACTACTGTGGTATTATTGCAACGATCAGTTTGCTAAAAAAAATTGCTATGATCAGTTACTGCAAGAATTACATTTAGTACAAGTGAAAAGTAGTTCTTCTGCTCTTGACTCAATAATGCTGTTTTGGTTCTCTCCAGACACATACATAATACATATATATATATATATATATATGGGGAGAGAAGAGAGGGTTGGGGAGGGGGGAGTGATAAAATACCCATTGTTATTTATTCGTGATCATTTTCTGGTGATGGTGCAGCGGTGCCAATGGTGGAGGCCATGGTAGCTCTGGTGCTTGTGGATCAATTGATGGCACAGTATGCGCAATGCAATATGTTTCCTATTAATCCAGCATTACAGGAACCGTTGGAGTTACCAAGGCTCGAGCCTGCTGGCAGTCCCCTTTGAAAGGCGCAAAGTGGCTGTCGCCTCTTCTCTATTGCCTTTGCCCAACTTCTTTACCTTGTATAATGACAACTTTTCCCAATATATTTAGTGTGATTTTATGGAGTGTTAACAGAATTTGTGATTGAACTCGTGTGGTGTTGTAATAAGCGGCTGTAGGGATATAATTTTTCCACCATTTCTTTTCCCTTGATAAATGAATTATCGTGCCACTGTTGGCAAAATAAGAGCTTTCTCTGGCTTGACTTGGTCATCTTTAACTATGTATAATTTCTAGTCATTGTAGAGTTGTTGGGGATATAATTATGGGCAAAGCAGCCAGATTTTGTCGTTTAGTTTTCCTAAATGAATGTCATGGAAATCAACCTCATCTCTTATGTTAGATCTCTGATTTTTATGCAATTTTTCCTAGCAGAAAGCACCTATGCTATGAGTTGAGATGATCTTCTTAGTTTTTCTCCTTGCCTCCCTATTTCTAACAGTGGAGATGCACTCCAAGATGATCTAACGGTTCAGATCTGATTATTTCAAAGAGAGACAAGGAGAGAGACCAAGGAGAGGATCTCTCTCCCCTATGCTAGACTGGTAACTTCCAACTCATTATTTATTGTTATGCAATGGCTGGTGCTATCTCAGGTAGGCAACTCAAAAGGGAGGATGAATTAGGTTATTAAAAAATAATTTCACAATATATTTATACCAATTTAAATAAATGAATTTTAGCAATCAAGTAATAATAAAGATTCAAATTATAACTAATAAAAAACAAAAAACAATAATAATCAATATAAAAGAGATGGGGATAGAAGAATAAACACGAAGATTTATTGTGGTTTGGCTCGCTGGACTTACGTTCACTCCTAAAGAATTCACTTTGAGAATTTCTTCACTATCAAATAAATCAATCCATTATCAAGGTTTCATCAAGCTTGTAGATTTTACAGTTCTTATTCTTATCTATTAAGATTCACTCAACAATAAATGTCTCATTTTTACATATTTTTTTACAAATCAACAAATAAGGAAAAGAGGTATTCTAGTCATCTTTTACAACAATTTCTCTCTTTCTATAAAATAGATATGAAAGTAAAGGAGCAAAGAGAATAAACAACACTTAAAGAATATTAGGTTTGAAAGTAAAATAACATAGTGAAAATACAATTGAAGAATAAAGCTTAAATATTCAGATTTTTTCCCTTCAAATTCGTTATTTTTCTCCAGACAAAATGCTTCTTTTATAGTCGAACAATATAACTGTTGGAGGAGGGGAGACACTCATCTTCTGACTTTTGCACGTTGCTCAGACTGCTGAACGTTCCACGCTGCTTCAACTTTCTCTTTCAAATTGCAAGTGGAAGTTTGAAATTATAAGCCAGAGGCCGCTTTTGATAAATAGTGAAATACTATTTACATAGTAACCTATCTCAGATTTTTTAGCAGTAATTTACTATTCATTGCACAATATGTTTTAGTAAAATTTATTTAAATATTTTTCATTCCAAATGCATCATACAACATATATTTTAACATACAATATCTTGTATCAAAGAATGTGAAAATTTTCATTCTCTATATAAATTTCTTCTCAAATGTGTTTACATGATTTTCATTTTGGGTATTGAAAATTTTCATTCTCTATAAAAATTCGTATATTAATTTTTTATTTTGATGATATTACAGGGGAAGAAGAAATATGATTTATATATGAATTTTTGACAAAAAATTTGTTACACAGGTGAGAAAATATAATGCAAATAAATACTTGTATTATGATGTTGTATATTTTTATGTTGCATTTATTTATGTGAAATTTTGTGAAATTCATGCATATTGCTTGATTTTGATGATGTAAAATACATTAGATTTATCATATTTTTAGTACACATATTTTATATTATTTGATACAAAATATTGTCCGTTAAAATATATGTTATATGATGCATTTGGAATGAATAATATTTAAATAAATCTTACTATGCATGTTTTGAAAAAATATTGTGCAATGAATAGTATTTACTATTAATTGTTTGAAAATATGAGATAGGTTGCTATGCAAATAGTATTTCATTATTTATCGAAAGTGACTTTTGGCCTATAATTTCAAACTTTTGCCTGCAATTTCAAAGAGAAAAAAACTGAAGTAGTGTGAAACGTTCAGCCGTCTTCTCGTGATCCGAGCAGCGCGTAAAAATCAGAAGAGGAGCGTCTCCCATCCTCCAACGGATATATTTTTTGACAATAAAAGAAGTATTTTGCTTGGACAAAAATAACGAAATTGAAGAGAAATTTTTTTGCACATACAAGCTTTATTCTTTCATCATTTTTCTACTACACTCTAAACATCTCCATTTTCAAATTTGAAATTTTCTGAGTGATATTATTTATTCTCTTTGCTTTTGCACTTTCATATCTTTTTATTGAAAGAGAGAAATTGTTGTAAAAAAGGGCTGAAATACTTCTTATCATTATTGATTGATTTGTGACAAAAAATTTGTAAAGGTGAGACATTTATTTTCGAGTGAGCCTCAATAAATAAGAGTAAGACCTGTAAAATCCACAAGTTTCGTGGTGGTGTATTACTTTATTTGATAGAGAAGAAATTCTCGAGCAGAATCTTTGAGGAGTAGACGTAGGCCCCACAAATCGAACAACTATAAATCTCTGTGTTTGCTCTTCTCTCCCTATCTCTTTTATATTAATTATTATTTCTTTGTTTTTTTACTTGTTGAAATTCGAATATTTATTATTACTTTCTTGCTAAATTTCAATTATTCAAATTGGCATAAAAAATATTGTGAAATAATTTTTAATAATCTAATTCAACCCCGTCTTGGGTTGCCTACCAGAGATAATGTAACTCCCCGAAATAATTATAATAAACCAATCGTAACAATAATTAAATAACAACATAAATCAAAGTACAATATCATTCCATTTCATAAAACTCAGTTGTACAAAAGAGGTGGCACATGCAAATATACATTCATAAGTCCTATCCCTGAATCTATAACATGTAACAACAACAAAAATAAGAAGTAGAAATTAAATAGATAATGAAAATGTCTTGAAGGCTACAACTTTCCAAGGCAATGCTTGGTTATATCAAAAGTGAGTCGTAAGCTCAATACATATAAAGCTCTAGGCTTGTACAAACATTAAATACGAAATAACAAAACTGAGCCGTCAGCTCCACAGTTCTCCCAAGCTAAGTCTTTGGTGAAGGCATCTCACTAATACTTGAAAATGGTTTTCCCATATAGGGTGAGCCAAAGCCCGGTAGAAATAATCCAACACAATATATGAATTTTAACAACGATATAAGGGTGAAATACATATGCAGTGCCCATGTCAAAACATTCTACATTTCTTCCCCAAAACCATGCCATGCTCAATTTATATCACAATTCTCAAGTCATGTCTTTTACAACAGAAAACAAGGGGGAAATCTCAATCGGTACAACCTTTTACGAATATTTTGTCCGCGAGAAACTGTTAAACGACACCCATGTAAATGTAGTTTATACAAGTACTACTATTACCGTTTCATAGATATTTTGTCTGCAGGAATCGACACCCATGTATATGCGCCTTTTTCGAGATTTTCACCCTGGACACACAGGCTTACTTAATTTGGTGATACACATCTCTTTCCAATATTCATCTCTCTTCTCAAATTCATATACATATGCAATGTATTAAATGAGCAACAATGTTCAGTGCACAAAGATGAGAAATTAGTTTCAATTCACCTAATCCTCATGCAATTTCTACAACAATCATAGCTATCCTCCACCAATAGCCCAAAATAGATATTTCTAAACAGATACATAAAATCTCCAATATAGATAAACTTTCCAAATTTCAAGGTGAGTGATAATACATATCAAACTCTACCATCTATATCAATATCCATCCAAATTCACATTCCCAACATTAATTCCATTGATTTATACAAAATAAATATTTGAAACATTTAGGTCCAAACCTCTTTTTCTTCCAAAGTTCAATCCAAGTATCAAAATCAACAATTTTATTACCACTCAACCTCATTTCCACTTCCACAACCATTTTCCATACAACCATTTGAAAACCCCTCTTTTGATTTTCAATCAAAACCCTTGGTTTGTTCAAAATCCTCCAAAATCACAAGATTGTTTTTATAAAAACAAATAGCTAAGTTAAAAATCATAAAAGAGTGTAGAGAATCCCTACCTTGAAGCTAGAAGACCAAGGAGGGAATAGAGAAACCTCAAGGAAGCCGAAATCCATCTTTGCTTGGATGAAAACGAAGCTCTAAGTAAGCTCTACCTTTTTTCTCAAAGGGAGTAGGGTGAAGAAATCAATGGATCCAAGCGTTTTAGAAGAGAGAATGTGAGTTTGAGAGAGAGAGGGTCTGAACTTAGGGTTTTTAGAAAGTTTAGAGAGATAGAGATATGAAAAAGTGATGTAAAATGGCTTTTTTATGAACTGATATACGCACAGTTCACTTGGGCGCAAGAGTTGTCGCTTGAGCGACCAGACACAATAAGTTGTTCTGCTCGAGCGCAAGAAGATTCGCTCAAGCGCAAAATACACACTCCCAGAAGTCTTACAGACAGAAAACCGTCGCTCGAGCGTAATAAGTCTCGCTTGAGTGAAGAACACTACCTCCCTAGTATTTTTGCAGGCCTACAAAAGTATTGGGAGCTCACAAAGCTCGTTCGAGCACAAGAAACTTCGCTCGAATGAATAGGCCAAATTCTGGACAACAACAGTTTGAACCAACTAGCAACTAACCTATTCCAAACACAACCAAGACACTCCAATACTCAAACTCAATGAGAAATAAGGAGAAACACAGTATGAACATATAAATAAGACAAAAGAAGCCCGGATTTAAAACATTAATGGGTCGGGTCTAAACCAGGAACGCTATATCCTCCCCCCTCTTAAGGAATTTCGTCTTCGAAATTTTTAATCAAACGTTAAAATCATGTTTAAACAAATTACAATAATGATAATTAATCAATTCCAACATCGTGACCCATTCATCGGTCATTCATTCTCATCAACATGATAAACAAGTTTTCAATACTGAATATACAATTCACATTTCTAAAACATATACAATGTTTATATTACATCAACATCATAAAAGTTTCAATACATAGTTAAAAATTAATAAATAGGTCCGGATGCTTTTCATGGTCTTCCAACTCACATTCCCAAGTTACTTCCTCAATTCCGTGATGTTGCCACAATACTTTTACCAAAGGAATTGTCTTGCCCCACAATACTTGGTCTCGAGTATCCAAGACTCTCACTGGTCTCTCCTCATATGAGGCATTCTCATCTACCTCTAAGTCGGTCCAATCCAACATGTGCGATGGATCCGGCT